CTTTGTTGAAAATCAGTTGGCTGAAAATACATGGATTTATTTCTGGGTTATATTCTATTCCACTGGTCTGTGTGTCTGTTTTTATGCCAATACCACACTGATTTGGCTACTAAAGTCTAGTAGTATAATTTGAAGTCAAATAGTGTTATGCCTGCAGCTTTGTACATTTTGCCCAGGATTTCTTTGGCTATTTGGGCTTTATTTTGGCACCATTATGAATATTAGGATTTATTTGTCTATTTGTCAAAAATGGCATCGGCATTTTGATTGGGATTACAGTGAATCTGTGTAGTGTTTTGGCCATTGGGATCATTTTAAAGATATTAATTATTCCAATCAATGAGCATGGATGTCTTTCCATTTGTTTTGTCTTGTTTATGTTTCCATTTGTGTTTCTTTCACTGGGGATTGAGTTTTCTCTCTGTGTGTATGTATATGCATCAAAGAAGATACTTGATATAATTTCAGTTTTTAAAATTTTTTAACACTTGTTTATGGCTGAACATATGACCTAATCTGGAGAATGTTCCATGTGCACCTTGGAGGAATGTGTATTCTGTTTCTAGGAAACAAGTTAAACTGTTGTCTGGGAAAGTTTTTATTTCTCCCTTATTTCAGAAGATCTTTATTAGATAATGTATTCTTTGGTGCCAGGTTTATTTTTCCATTTAGCACTTTGAATATATTTTTCTACTCTCTCCTGGCCTGCAGGGTTTGTGCTGAGAAATCTGCTGCTAGCTATAATGGGACTACCTTCAATGTGATATATATAATTTCTTGCTGCTTTTAGAATTACGTTTTTTATTTTTGATGGTTTGATTGCTCTTTTGGTTGGCTTTGATTGGAGATCTCTGAGCTTCCTATAGCTAGATTTTGTTACCTTTCCCAGATTTGGGAAATTTTCTGCCATATTCATTTAAATTTGCTTTTGGACCTATTCCTCTATCTTTTCCTGTTGCAGCTCCTATTATGCCAACTTAGGTTACTTGGTGGTGTTCCATAATTCCCTAGGATTTTTTCCCTTTTATTTCTGTGGCTGGGTAATTATTATGAGGATTTTTAAAGTTGTTTTATCAATCTTCCTTTTCTCAAGATCCATTAGTTGTGATTTATTAGTTTCTTTTGGTCATCTCACTTTTCTGATTTTTTCATAATCCTTGAGTCCTTACCTTGGTGCCTGTGTGTTTGAGAAAATGGCCACCTCTTTTAACCTTTCCAGGTGTTGTTTGGTGGTGATAGCCTTCACTATTTACTTTAGTCTGGGATTCTGGGAGCCAGCTGACAGCATACAGACAGACCTTGCTGTCAGGATTTCTATCTGGGTGGGCTGCTGCCTATGCTGTGAGACCAAGTGAGATGTATATGTTTCTATCTTTATGGGAAACCACAGCCATAGCCTTGTTACTTTTGCCCCTGGAGAGGAAGAGTTTCTTCTGTGTATATCTTTTAGAGTATACTGCATGAGTCTGTCATTTGGAGTGGTGGGGTCACACCAAGGTTAAAGTCTAAGGATTCATGACAAGTTGGTCTGAAAATTGTGCACAAGACTGAAATCTAATGTTTACTTTCTCAATTCTCAGCTTTGCCTGCCTAGTGCTTGGACTATCTGTGTGTGGAAAGCCAGAAGTAGATTGCGTGACATTCATTGACAATGCAGCCACTGGTGAGTAAGACATGTTTCTTTCTGCTTAAATTGCAACTGTATTACCAGTAAATGAGCAGGCTTCCCCTATTACGATACATTTTCTAAGTGCAATAAACAGCTATTAAGGATTAGAGTTTCAGTGACATTTCCCGACAACTCTGGGATGAGTATTCTGGGTCAGGAACTCATCTATAGCTAGCCTTGTTCCTAAATTATATAAATTTATTCTAGCCTCCACTAATATTGTGTATTTATAGAAGAGATGAGAGAGATTTTCTTTCTGTCATCAAAACCATGGTCTCATTTGGAAATAATTGACAGAGTAACCATATTATTGGCTGCAGTGGACTTAGGATTGTGATGAATGAAGGCCATACAGATGATTAAGGAATGTCCATTTGCATTTGAACTATAGTCCAATAGGGAGGTAGGTGTCTCCTCAAATGAGTTTAATCTAGTATGAAAAGTCCTTGGTGAGATCTGTGCAATGTTGAGGCAAGCATTTCCTCAGATTGTTTTCTATTTCAAACTTAAAGTTTTGATAAAACATATTTATACTTTTGAAAACTTCAAAGACAATACCTAAAATTCTCATTATCAGCCTTGTCCTCATCACATTACTTCTCTCTATAATCTTCTTTTATTCAAATTTGATAATTGGAATAATGTATAGGGAGTGTTGTTTTCTTAATTGTGGCTGTGAATTTTTGAGAATGAGCCTAGTAGGTAGAGTAAAATAATTTAAGCCTTGTAGACCTTTTTAAGGAAAGAGATAGACCAAAACTAATAAAGAGACTTCTTTTGCCCTTGAGCAGATACACAGCATAAAGATAAAATAGAGACATTTATAACTATTGCTTGAGAAACTTAGCAAAAATTGAGAATAGAAGGCCTCATGCCTAAGAAATGGTCAGGCTATGACTGTCCTTCAGAACAGCTGGTGCAGAGGCTCCTGGCTTGTGCTGCTTAACTGTCTTTGATTCTTATTTTGTACACTTGACTCAGGTAGAGTTAAGGGAGACTGCACCCACAGATCTTAAGTTCTGTCTGAAACTTGTTGGGTTCTGAAAAGTGTTTAAGATTGTTTCAAGGTTCTCTGTATTTTTAATGAATTATGGACTCATGGTTTGTGTTTAATACTTCTTTTCTAAGTAGGAAACACTTCATACATTAATTAATTGGATCTTTTAACACAAATCTGGTTGTTAAATCAACTTGGTAAATGAGGAACCTATGGTTCATTTAGTGGAATAATTTAACCATAAACATGGTTGAAAAGTAACAAGTTGTGGTTATTGTTTGCCTTACAATGCATCTAGAGTTACTTGAAATTGATGGGGAAGGAGTTTCAATTATGAATTTTCCAGTGAAAATTTTATAATTACTTAGCTTGGAGTCATAATTACTAACCCTTTCTAATAAACTTTTATGAATTTAGAGTGTGTTTGTCTCTGTAGATGTATTTGAAAAGCACAGTGACAGCTCAGCACTGAGAATAAACTGGCTGGAGTCCCAAACACAGTTTGATATTTCTACACACTATGTTACTCCCCCTTCCTCAGTGCTGTCATCTCAACCCTAGAACTCCAGACATTGACTGGGAATGCTTTATCTAAACCTGAATGTCTGTGATGTTACAGGAATCAGTGACCTTTGAAGATATAGCTATAGACTTCACCCAGGAAGAATGGGCCCTGCTTGACACATCTCAGAGAAAGCAGTACAAAGATGTGATGCTGGAAAATATGAGTCATCTAGTCTCCATTGGTGAGTATGTCAACATTTATGTATTTCTGTGCAAATTTATGTATTCATTCAGTTATTCATACATTCAACTAGGATTTAGAACATCTTCTCCCCGTTTTGTCTCCATTCTCTGTCCTAATTCTTTAATAGCCCTTATAATAACACGAAATAATGTTTATCACTTCAGTAGAGTGTAATCCTGACCACAATTTTGTCTTTCTTGCTACTTAATCTCCAACACTCAGCATAGATCTGGAAACTTGATGAATATTTTTACGTGAAAGAATTAGTGGATTAAATATTTTCTATATAACTATTCTGTTATGTTCACTATTCTGAAGCTTGAAAATAGTAAGTTTTCAATAGTAAAATAATGAGCATATTTTTATGTACATAGAACATAGATTTTTTTTCTTAAGATGTATGATTGTTGTATTCTATTGGAAAATAATATCTATTCCACATTGGAGGTAAGCATTTTTTTCTCATTTTGGTAAGACTGAGGATCCTATGTTCTCTTATGCAGCTGAGTCATGGGCATCAGTATCCTGAGAACCTCACTGTTTGGGGGCAAATAATCTGGATTTTTATTTTTAAATCTTAGAACAGACATTCAATGTTTTCTCTATTCTAGGAATTGTTACCTGGGTTAAACTGTATTATTCCCATTCCTTCATTGTATCCTGGCCTAAACTTGATGAAAATGCATAATAATTAGCACATAATTTAAAATTGATATATCTTTTTTCCATGAACAGGGTATCCACTCCACAAATCAGATGTGATTTTGCGATTGGAGCAAGGAGAAGAGCTGTGGAAAGAAGGGAGAAAATTTCTTCAAGGCCAGAGTCCAGGTAAGCAGCAAGGACTAGGAGGTTCCTGGTCAGTGATTCTGTAAGTCTTTAAAATACCAACTGAAGATTTTAAGTGAGTGATATTTTCTAAAATGAATATAAATTATTGGGCAAAATGCCTCAGATGTTGTCATTACTTGCATATATCAATAATTACTCATGTTCTAGTACTATTATCTTTTGTTTAAAGGATATTCATGTACTTGTTGGAGTTAAAATTACACACTGATTCTTCTCCTGATACTTCCCCTTGAAGATTTTCCATTTATTTACCTACCCAACATCTCATCTCCATTTTACTTTTTTCATATTTCCAGCCTGAAAATCTTCTCTAATTGTCAGTACTTTATAATCTGTTTTTAATATCTACAGCAATCCTTCATTTGACATATGTGCCCCATTTATGTATAAATTTTTAAAACATACTAGCATGAGACTTGATTATTTTGAATATTTTTATTCTCCTAATGCCACTTAAAAATATATTTTTTCAATTATTTTAGGTGAAAAAAGTGTCCCAAAAAACCAAAAACTGATATTCACATATCGTGTCAGCAGGAAAGGCACCTCCACCATTATACCAGCAGTAAGTATCATGGGTATGAATACAGGTCATGTAAATTAAAGACTTGGGAATGGGATAAGTTAGTAAGTGAGCACAATCACCTGACTGGAGTTGATTAAGTATTAAGAACTCTGAGCAAAAGTTTTTGGATACTTTGAGTTTAGTGAATAAATTAACCTTAGGTCAAATTTATAACTTGAAATCTTTACGAAAAGGAAACAGAAACATTGTGGAGATATTGCTCAAATCCTAATATTTGAAACACTGAAGTCTTCACAATTAATCTGATGAATTCTATGGTTGGAATGCTATAAAAATGAAATTATTTGTATATGCATAGAAGTAACACACTAAAGTATTTAATTAACATTGGAAAGATTTTAACTGGAATCTATGACTGAAAGATGAGGCTTCATATGTAAAGAAAATAATGCATGGATGCATGGGAGAAAATCATTAATGGCCTTTTATCTCCTTCCCCAAATCAGAAATCTCACCATCCTCAAGAGGAACCTTTTGAACTGAATAATTTGACAGAAGATTTCACTCACAGGTCTTTATCGATTCCTCAACATTTGTTAATTCACACCACAAAGAAACCCTATGTCAGCAAGCAGTGTAGAAAATCCCTCAGTGACCTGTCATTCATTAATCAAGATAAGCAAGTTCTTCATAGACATAAATCATATGAATGTCATCTTTGTAGGAAATCCTTTCATAATAGCTCTAACCTTAGACAACATGAGAGAATTCATACTGGAGAGAAACCATATGAATGCCATGTATGCAGAAAAGCCTTCAGTCAACGTTCTCACCTTAGACAACATGAGAAAATTCACACTGGTGAGAAACCATATGAATGCAATCTGTGTGGGAAAGCCTTCAGTCAAAAAGTTGTCCTTAGACAACATGGGAGAATGCACACAGGAGAGAAACCATATGAATGCCACACATGTGGGAAAGCCTTCCGTCAATGTTCTCACCTTAGAAGGCATGAGAGAAATCATACTGGAGAGAAACCATATGAATGTCAACAATGTAGAAAATCTTTTAGTAGTGGCTCTGGCCTTAGACAACATGAAAAAACTCACAGTGCAGAGAAGCCATATGAATGCCAGGTATGTGGGAAAGCCTTCAATCAGTGTTCTCATCTTAGACAACATGAGAAAACTCACACTGGAGAGAAACCATATGAATGCCATGTATGTGGGAAAGCCTTCAGTCAGCCTATTGTCCTTAAACGGCATGAAAGAGTTCACACTGGAGAGAAACCATATGAATGTTACCTATGTGGAAGAGCTTTCATTCAAACTTCTATTCTTAAGAGACATGAGAGAATCCACACTGGAGAAAAACCATATGAATGTCATCTATGTGGGAAAGCTTTCAGTCAAACTTACCCCCTTAGAAAACATGAGAGAACTCATATAGGAAAGTAGCCCTAAAAATGTCATCTATGTGGCTGAGTTCAGTGTGGGCAACATAATGAGACTGGTATCTAAAATAAAATCATAAAAATAAATTAGCCAGGTGCAATGGTGTGTACCGATAGTCCCAGCTACTTCAGAGATAGAGACACTGTTACTTGAGGCTAGGCTGGGAGATATATGGCAAGAGCCCATTTCAAAAAAAAGTCATCTAAGTGGGATGCCCTTCAGTCACCATTCTTCCTTTAAATAATATGAGGGAATTCAACAATGGAGAGAAAATGAGAAATGTCTTCAGAAAATACTCTGACCTTAGATGACACAGAATTTGAAATGTAACTGCCCTGGAAGAGAAATCAGCCATAGTTCAAGCACACTAGCATACTAGAACCTTGAAGAAGCATTGTCTTTAATCATTGTGGAAAATCCTTCCATCATGCTACTCCTCAGTTGACATAAATACATTCATTTATATATATGATATCTGTATTAGACATTTAGTGGTTTGATCACAAAAGGCATGAGAGGGCAAACTATAAATGTCATGAGACTATAAATATAATACAAGTTTTCAGGAACAAATCAAAATTTTAAACACACTAGAGAACTTGTACAGTGCAGAACTTCTAGTTCTGTAATCAGCATGAGAGTGATTTTGTAGTTTATTGTTAAGCAACATGAGAAAACTCCATTTGGAATAATCACTCAGGTCCAGAATAATTTAAACATTCAGCCAAGCACTAGCCTTGGTGTACAGAAGAAATCTTATTGAATGAATAACCTGTTAAATAAGAGGAAAGACTTAACTTGCAGTGTGCAACCTCTTGATGAATACCAAATATTTTATAATGGAGAAGTTATTCAATGAACAATAATGAGAAAGACTTTATTCATAGAGCAGAAGTTGTGGCACATGGGATGATTCACACTGGACAACATCCTGTCAGTGTTGAGCATGAAGTAAAGTTTTGAATTTTCATTTATTTAGCTAACCTTAACATTGTCATGCTGAGGAGATACCAATCACAAAATAACTATGCAGACACCTTCTACTACATTTTACATTAGACAACTAGAATTAAGATAAACAAAGAAATCATGTTCAGTATCTCCACCCTACCACATGTGTGTGTGTGTATGGATGGATGTATATGTCAACAGAACACAAGGGCATTTTTTGGAGCTTAGAGATATGTTTAGTACCTTAGTTGTGTGGTGATGGTATCTGGGGGTTATATGTCCAGACTCATCAAGATATATATATTAAATGTATGCAAATTTGTCTACCATTTATATCACAATAAAGGTTAAAAAAGAAAAATGACTCTAAAATTTTTGTAATGAATTCTTCAACATACAATTCAGCAACTCAGAATTTTAAGAAAATACCTATCTATGAAAAACATGACATTTAAGAGAGTGAACTTATTGGGAATGCTGAATGCAGAATTTTAAAAAATTATATTACATTTCAATAGGTTAATACAATATATAAATGATAAAACCTGTTGCTGAAAAACCTAATATATTTATGATAGTCTAGTTTTTGTATGCAGTTCTAAACATGTAAATTTGGGTCTGCAGTCCTTGACATGTGAGGAGAGATTCCGCCCTACTTTCTAAGTCTCCTTTTTCTCCAAAAGACCTGAGCTGTGTTCACACAGCTCAGCTAAACTCATTCCAACTTTCCCTAAACACCTGCTGGCTCCATGTATCCCAGAGGGTGACACAACAGGGACCTTCAGCCAACTTGTCAGATTTCTCAAAGAGCCATGACATGGATGTATCAGGAAATTGGGAATGATATCAAAGCCACATAGTATTAACCATTGAGTGGCCCAGACCTTGTTTTTGTCCCTGGGAAGTTAACTCTGGCCAGAGAGACAGGTTATCTTTGCCTTCCCAGCTGATGGAAGACTCCCTGGATTTTTTTCAGTAAACCTTCTGAGTTAAGTGGACACAGGAATTAATTCCATAACACATTTTATCAAGGTCAGTCCTGACTTATGACACAGATAGGGACACAACTGTTCTCCCACCACAGCAGCTCAGATGATAAAACAAGATAAAATACCCTATCTTATCAACTACCATGTATGACCTTGTTATTAATTTCCCAAAGCAAAATTTAAGTTATCACAAAGGGTATCTCCCCTGCTTGCACTCAAGGGTAAGATACGTATTAATGTTATATTTCTGCAAACCTCAATACTGAACCTAAACTTCAAGTGTAAATGCTGCCAGAAGGTCAACTGGGCTGACATATACTTTTGGAAAATTGGAAAAATCTCAAACCATAGGCCTCACTTAAGCCAAATAAATGAGCACATTGCTGAGTAAAACCAATACATCATAATTTTTAAAAATTTCCCAAGTGATTTTACTCTGAAGCCAGGGAGGGACAATGTAGAAGAGAAAACCCCCGTGTCTGTAATTAATGTGAGAATGCCTTAGTTTATTGTTAAATAACATGAGAAAACTCCACTTGGGAGAAGATTTGGTCTGTAGATAAAGTGAAAAATATTCTGCCAAGCATGATGGTTGTTGTCTACTAGAAAACTCTCTGAGGAAATAGTTGGTAAAACAGGAAATATGAGAAGAAAGGCTTTACAAGGGTAGTGAATCCTCTTGTGAAATACTAAATACATCCTACTGAAAAAGTTATTCAATGAAAAATCATTAGACATCCTTTATTCATAGGGCAACACTCCTTGCACATGTGAGGTTTCAAACTGGACGAAACACTCTTACTGCCACAAAAGGAGGAAAGTCCTCAGGTACCATGTATTTCTTAGTTAACATTATCTCACACTGAGGAGATATCAATCCTATAATCAACATGGAGAAATCACCTTCTAGATTTCAGTTCAGAAAACTGGGTCAAGGACAGGGAGTGGACTCTAAAAATATACCTTTAACATAAATTACCAAATAATTCAGAATTCTGAGAAAATGTCTGCTTATAAAAATTTGGTATTTAAACGTATTGATATGGGAATATTGAATGCAGAATGATGTAAGAAATTAAAATGCTTTTCAATAGATCAGTAGTTGCAAATGTATTTATTGTAAGCAATAAAACCTGCTGTTGAAAAATCTAATAGGTTGATAGAGTTCCAAGTATTATTTATGCAGTTCTAACACATAGATTTGGGATGATCACATCAATTCCTATGAATTCATCTTGCTATAAAACAAGAAGAAAATGATCAAAATGTCAGTTACAATAGTAAATACCCTGGAACAAGAGGTACCAGATTAAGTGTTAAATGTTAAATGACAGCATGGGATGGCAATTGTCAAAAATCAAACTACAGTAAACTGGCATTCCAATACCTTCAAAATAGTATTCTATGTTACTCTCCATCTCTGTTGGTATGTGAATCTTTCTGTGTGTTGCTGTGTCTTTGTCTCTGTCTCTCAAACATATACATGCCCACAAACACACACAGACATACACAAAACACTTCTGCCTTCCACGCCATCGTGAATTTAGTAGATGACAGATTAAAAATAGATCAACCAACTTCAAAGTATCATATTTATTGCTAGTGACTCAAATGTGAGTGAATTGTATACAATTAGGAGAATTTTAATACTAATTAGGTAACTAATTATAAAAAGCACTTATTTTACTTCTTATTATAGATTATGTTTCTGGTTTATTTTGTGTCCTCTTGAATAGATTTTCTCTAGCCCAGTATGGAGTCCCATTTACTGATGATGGTTAGGAGGGTTTCACTGCAGACATTCATACATACAGCTGCATTGTACTTCCTGGTGCCCATTTAGAATGACCCAGCCGAAATGTCCTCAGCCCCCTCTGGAAGCCAGATCAAGTTTAAGCCTCTAAGGGTAGAAATTCTTATACAATTTTTTATTTTCTTGTATCAAATCCAGAAAACACAGCATATAGCATTTTGTAATTTTATCTATATTTAGGTTTTCCTTATAAGTCTGGATATTTGCTATTTAAGATTCAGTTTAAACTGCAGATGAACTTTGCCCTTGTTTTTATGAAGATATCTTTATATCATTAAGGAAAGACTATAGGTAGTTTTTAATGACAAACGTTGGAATCAGGACAACTAAATAAGATGTTAAGATAATGAAACCAAAATCATAGGAAAAATTATTCCCACAGTGTATATATTTCAAAAAATATCCAATTATTCAGGTACAGGGCTCATTTTTCCCATATCAAATGAACTCTTTCCTCACATTCTCTTTTATCTCAAATGTATAAAAATTTAAACATTCTTCACATACAAACATCAACACATTCACCTCATATGTAAATGTATACTAAACACAAACTTTCTTCAAATAGAAATTTTCACGTGTCACCAAGGCTAGATGATATGCACACTTTCCACTGTCACATGCACAAGCCTATGCCTTTCAGCCACACCCATAAACCATAAAAACATAATAAAAATGACACATCTCCAAAGCTCTGTATGTGGCCCCGCCCATTAGTCTCCAACAGCACATTCTCAACCTCTTTGGATAACCCGTCTGAATACCTATCACTCACAATACCAGTAAGAGACACAAGGAAAAATAAATACTATCCTTGCATCTCCCATATAAACTCCAAACCGATGATTTAAAACTGACAAATTGATTCACGTGTATTTCACATTGTCAAAATTGAAGCATCCCATATTCCTTCCACAACTGACTCTCCAAATACATCACAAACTGCAAGCCCTCAAACCCAATAAAAATCCAATCTTCTCCAGTAATCTTGCAGTGGGGACTCTCCCCAGAATACAATACACACATATGCAGACGTTGTTTCATATGCCATGAACTCATTCTTATAGACCGTCACCCTCTGCACTATCTCCCTACTCACAACTTCAACACAAAAATATTTCCCTATGTCGCTTCTACACTGGAAAGCAGTGTCCCATGACACGGGACCAGAGTGCACATAACCATCCCCGAACCTTCTTTTTTTTCGTGAAGGGTGGAAGAACGCCCCTCAGCTCTGGGCTTGGAGGCTCCTTGAATGAGTGACTGGGAAGTGGAGGCCTGAGAAGAAAGAGGGATGTGCTCTAAAAGGGCACGAGTAAGAGGTGAGGAAGGAGGGCGGGGGTACTCAGGACAGGGCTGGGGGCTCCAGAATCCCAGGGAGAGGGGTATGTCGCGGTATTCTGGCGCTGTCCTCAACCCTTCGAGAGGTTCCAGAATCTACTTCCTGCGATGAGAGACTTTCTTCGGGATGAATAGCGGAGGAGAAAAGAACGAAGACGGAAAGGCCAGGACAGCGCCCATCCTGGAGCTATTTTAACTAACCCTGGACGTGGAGCCTGGACCCCACAGCGGAGCGACAGGTATGGGACACTCCGAAGACAGCGCGACGCTCCCGCGGGCCGGTCTGTGGTTGTGGGGACTGTGTCGTTGGCGGCGAACCGAGGACCCAGGTGCAGAGGACCGGGCGGCAGGGACCTCAGAAGCCAGTTGTGGACCAGAAATACCAAAACTCGCTCAAGCAGCAAAAGACTGCTTCCGGGTCAGCAGGAAACTGGGCGCTCCACGGGAGCGGGACCTAGATGCAGGCGCGGTGCTTCTCCCTCCGGGCGTTTTCGGGTCAGTCTCTACTTCCGCCTGTGGATCCTGAGACTTCCGGTTTGTCTCCACGCGATTGCGTGGTGTGTGCAGCGGGGCGGGGCTTCTTCCACCAGGTTGAAGTATTAATAAAATGGTTCTAATGTTTTATGGCAACGGCTTATTCTCGTCAGGCCGTTTATATTCTTCCCTCGCAACGGCGCGAACTCGGGTGACGTCAGAGGCCGTTTCCGCGCGGAGGGAGAAGCGGCGCTGCGCGCGCAGCCGGTGCCACCGCGTCCCGGGCTCCGGAGGGCGACGGGGTCGCGATGGGCGGCGGGGAACGTGCGGTTGCAGCTTCCATCTGCTCTGGACCTCGTTTCCATCTCCACGCTGCTCACCCGAGCGGCAGCAGGGACTTCACAGGAGCAGGGCCTGGGCAGTGAGCTGGCGGGGCAGAAAACTGTCTGAGCAGACAAAATTGCTGCCTGTGTTTACACACATCTGTTTAAACTTTCCTCTTTACCTTTAGTTCCTTTCCTATTTCACGCGGGAGATGATTTATCAATTCAAATACCTTTAAGATCAACAGGAATTATATCTCATAATTTCATTGATTTATTAATTTATATATACATTGTAATTTCCAATTTCTCTTTATCTTTATTCTCAGAGTATCTAAAAATTATTTTAAATTAGAAAATTATGAGTTATTTTAATGTATGACTTTGTTTTCTATTCATGAGTATTTTATAGCCAATATGGATAATGAGGCTTCTCAAATGCTTACTTCTGTGGAGCTGTGTGGAAATTGCTTTTATCTAATAAAAATTTAATTTTTCAATATTTTTAGGAATATTTAATAGGGAAGTCTATGCTTTCACGTAAACATTAAAACAGTAGTAAAACTGGATATTCAAATTTTGGTAGCCTAATTTATGCCCTTCATATATTTTAATGTGAAGTATGTGCGTTTATATTTCCTTTTCTGTTTCTTCTGGACATTGTTAAGTTCATGCTACCTAGATTGTAGCAAAAACAATTCCCAGTTGTTCATGCTGCTGACATTTCTCAAAGATTATGTTCCCAAAATGGTACCCTATTGCTTTTCCCATAACTAAATTCTCAGTTTCTCAACGTTTTAAGTATTTTCAGAAAGTGTTGAGTGTTTCCTCTCAAATTTTGGAATATAACTTTCTTGTAGGCCAGATATTAGATAGAAGCCAGAGGTTCCTAAATAGAAGATGCGACAGCCTTGCCCAGTGCCATCCCTGTCTATCTCCAGGACTAAAACTATTTCCCCGAGCTCAGCTCACTTCTCTCATACTTGTTAGTAAATGGACACAGATTAAGTAGCCAGGACTGTACACCATTTAGTGATCAAGATATCCAGATATCTGAACCTCTAATTAATATTTTTAGCACCCTCACACTTAGGATATAACTCTGCTTGTGTAAACCACCCAACATGCCACTTACATGCGTGAATTCTGTGTTCATTATTATACACCGAATGTGCCTGGAAAGTCTCAAGATTAACAGAATTGTCTCCTCTTTAGCTCACGTGAGGTACATACTGTTTGAAAGCACTCTAAGGGAAGCTGATGCCATAATATGGATGGCAAGCTCTTTCACCATATCTCTGACTGTTGGTTTACTTGGATGGGATTAAATCTAATGAGTTAGAGTGCATTGTGTATATTTTTTTTCAATTTCTGTTTTCTTTAATGTATTACAATATTTCTTAAAATGGAAATGCAATGTACAGGAAGCCTTGGAAAAACATCCTCATTGAAGAACTAGTGCCCTTTACAGGAGAAAATATACCCCAACCCCAGCACAGTGGTGATAGGATGAAAAATTGGCGGGTTTCACTAAGATGAAGTTTGTCTCCTGTTCCGTGGAGAAGTCTTACATCAATTCTGTTCTAATAAAACCTTCCTGCATCCTGACCCCTGATACCTGTATTTGCAAATCAAAGAAGATAAATACCCACCAAAATAATTGAAATATCAGGATGCCAAGCAAGGTGGACCATTATATTCATTGACTCCTGTGATCCTTAGAGGATTTTAGAGAGAGAGAATTCTTGTGCACCTAGAAGTCCTCTGTTTTAACAGAACTGAAGACCCAGGATCTGTGGATTTTGTCAAAATGTGTGCGACACTCAGTAATAGGGCAGTCTTCAGGCCGTGAGACAAGGCTGTAGGAGTGTAGAGGTATAGCCTCTGATTCAGACTGAATGAAGTCAGGATCTTTTCAAAAGGTATGGTGGACTGATTGTGGTCCAACCTGAAGTTCCTTTAATCTCATTTTCTTCACGGAACTTCTGAGCTCAACCAAGAGGAACCTTGTGCCAGAGTCTTAAAGTGAAAGAAAGATTACTGAGAAAGTAGCTTGACAGGGAGGAGAGGCCGTAATTTGCCCTTCCTCAGAAACTCCTCCCTACAGAGCCATGCAGATTTTCTTGATCTTAGTAAAAGTTTCCTGGCAGAGAGAGACTGCAGCAAGCAAGGGAACGGTGTGTTATCCTTGTGCACCACATCCCGTGGTTCTCAGACAGTGCTGGGCATCCGGATGGTGTGGACAGTGTTTAACAGAGCAGAGGCTCTGGCTCTACAGGGACACAGGAAGTGACATCTTGGGGGTAGGAAATAAGCATGAGTATATTTAAAGCTCAACAACTGCTTTGAATGTGAGCCCAAGAGAGAATAATGCTGCACACGCTTATTACAACACTTTAATTTGTACAAATATCACTCAGATACATTGTTAATATGTATGTTTTTCTGCCATGCCGCGCTGAGAACAACCACACCCAGATGTCCAACCGAATGAGAATATTTTTGTCTCCTGGGTTACCCAAATATGGGCAACCCCTCCTACTTCTCAATGACCACCCAAGGTCCCAATGGAAAATCCCCAACTCTCTTGGCCAAAAGTACCTAGCTCCAACCAAAGGGTATAAAAGACCTCAGACCCTTCAAAGGGAGGCTACTTCTGGGTCTTGCCTCTCAGGACCCGAGAAACTCATCCTGGAGTGTATAATAAAACCACGTGGTTTGGCCCACCCCCCCAAAATATGTATGTTATTCATAAATAAGGGGTGAGTATTACTTTAAATTCTATATTCCAATAGGTGCTACCAAGGATTTCATTGCTCTCACATAATTAAACATTGATGACTATAACTACCAAGAAATTGAACTGGGGTGTTTTAGAAATTAAGCTCTTTGCAACATAGGGAGACACCAAATGCACAACAACAAAACATTCGCCAGGCACGGTGTCACCTGCCTGTGGTTGCAGCTGAGCCAGGAGGATGTCTGAAGCCTGGAGTTGGGGGTAGCAGTGAACTGTGACCTTGCGACTGCATCCGCTCCACCCTGGGTAAAGAATGAGTCTCTGCTGCCGAGGGAAAAAAGGAACTACAGTACCTATGTCACATTGGGATGAATTTTATTAACATTTAACAGATTTTAAAACTACAGCTTTGCAATGAAATTTAATAACCTCATACAGACAAGGCCATATTGGATCATGAAGCACAAGGAGCACCATATCTAGAAAAAATGTAGACTTTCCAGCCTACTGTATCCAGAGAACACACCATTGCACTTAATTTGATAACCCACCAAAATCCATGGAACAATCTTTACCAGCTGAAGGCTTGGAGCGGTAAAACGATCATACGTGTCTTGAAACCTTACTCCTATTTCAATTACTTAAAGTGTCGCACATGATTCCCAGATATCCCACGATACCAAAAGGCAAACATCTCACACCCACCCACAAGTGAGAACAAGTACTAACACAGCACCACCAGAAAATCATGAGACTCCATATTAAATTCCACACACTCTAAAAACCTCACAGTGGAATCCTACACTTCAAAACCTAAAAATCAGAATTCACAATGAATTTCATATACAGTGAACATCTGCACGTAGAAAGTTCCTTCAAATGTTCAGAACACTCAAAAATCCAAAGAAAATATTTCACATATGTGGCCACATCCTGGAATGCAGCCACCAGGAACCAATGGCTGCAGGTGCTTGTAGCCAAACCGGACCTCTTCATTTCCAAGTTTCTTCCTCCAGTACTGACTTGTGTGTGTGTGTGTGTGAGTCACTGCACATGCATCAGTTCTCATACTGATATTACTGGAACACAACCAGAGAACTTGTGCCGTGCTTGTTCCTCCTCTTGCTACCCCTGGCCCTCCCACCCACACAAGGGACTTTGCTAGCTTTCAGGGACACCTGGTCTCTTTCTTCCTTGTCTGATGTGGGCAGCAAGTTATTGTCCTTTGTCATCTCCGTCTTGTATTTTGGTGGATGAATCACAACTGCATTGGAAGGCAGGGTGGATTCAATTTTTCGGAAGTTCACCGCAGGCTTTGGTCGGTTTTGTTCCAGGAGGCACTTCCACTGATCTAAGGAGAGCTCCGTAGTTGCTGTCTTTTCCAAGCGTTCCTCAAACTCGGGAATCTTGACGCCAGAGTCACTTTTGAGCTCCCGTTGGGTTGCTCCCTTGTCCGTGTCTTCAGCCCCACGGGCTCTTGGTTTCTTCCCTCTGGAGGCACACCCACCGTCTCTCCCCAATTCACTCTTCTGGATGTAAAAGAGAAGGTAGGCAGGTTGACTGAGGACAGAAGAAATGTGACAGGCGGTCACCTTAGCATCATCCATTTTGTACCACTGGCCATTCCCAGCTTTGACATAGCAGAAGTAATGTCCACTTTGACAGCTGCTCCCAGCATGGACCAGCACAGCATACAGGAGGTAAACAAGGGGTCCTCTGTTCCGCTGAGACATGTATGGTTGCATGTCAAGGCACTCGGGATATTGCACTTCTTTTGCAATTTTGTTGCCTGTGACATCTGAGAACCTTTTCAACACAAGCATCAGGACCTTGGAGGCAGTGTGCACAGTCAGAGACTTGGACGCAGGGACCTTCTTTAGACAAGTACCACAGTGATAGGCATCCTCTCCGTCCAGGTGCTCGGGCTTCACCAACCATTGCAAAGCTTGGTTGAGGCTCTGAGCTGCCTCGATATCCAAGGCGATGTCCAGGTAAGGTTCAAAGGTGTCTGAAATGCCATGGCAGTGCAGACACTTGATCTGAGACCTCCAGTAGCCTCCAAATATTTGACGGATTAGGGTTGTGTCCTCAGAGTGACCGTCTAAGGGCTCGTGCCCAGACAGACAAGCTCTCTTCATGGCATCCACAGTGCACATGAGAAACTCATGGGCATCTTCCTGGTCGTATCTGTGGAAGCCAGCAGCCAGTGCCAGCGAGGGCTTGATCACCTGGCCAGGCTGGGTTAGCACCCGGGTGACATGAGCTTCCATAGTGCACAGCATGCAGCATTCCTGACGACGACAGCTTAGAGAATGCTCCTGGGACAGCACATAGTTGGCGAGGGGTGGTGTGTACGTCAGGCACTGCAGTGCAGCATTCATGTAGCACGTGTTTCCCACATTGCAGAGCCCAGCACCAACCCCATAAGGTCTCTTCCAGGTCAGCAGCAGTTTGTCCCTGGGAGCCAATGGCTTTGTCCCAGGAGCCTGTTTCAAATGCAGGTCGGGATCTCTCTTAGATAACAGTGAAGAGTTCTTAGGTCGGTAACAACTGGGGTTATCCATATCGTCAGCTAAATTTGGCTGAGAAATTTTGAGTTTTGCAAAGGCATTGAAAGGAGGCTCCCCTCCCTGGAGGACTGAAGCAGCCTTCATGTTTCCGGGAGCGATGATCACGAAGCTCCCCCGCTGGGACCGTAAGTTGAGGAAGGACGATGCTTTCCCTTCTGAGAGCGCCTTCAAATGGCAGGTCCGTCTCCACATCAGCCTTTTTATAGCTAGCCCGACTCACCACACCCACTCCCGAGGCACAACATCCACCAGTCACGTCCAAGCACTCAATCGGATTAGGAAGCCTCAGGGTGTGTTCTCTGGCAGTCCCCAGATAATCCGACCAGCACCCTCCCCATTACTATTTGTGCAACACCTGGGGCAGATTGAACTAGCAGGATCCCGATTAAGTACCCTTAATCGGGATTTAACAAGGGTGGGGTGGTGGACATATATTTGTCCTAGCCCTTTGAAAACAATAATGGGGGAACGTTAGATATTGAATAACAAGTCGGACTCACGCTTCGAGATTTTATTTCTCATTGCAAAGCTACAGTTCCTAAGGCAGAATGGCACTGGTGTAAGATCAGACATAGAGACCAATGGAATAGAGCAAAAGGCCCAGAAATAGCCCTCCTTCTATGGTCAATAGAGTGAATGATTGGTGCAAAGGTAATAACACTTTTCAGTGTGGACAGGATAGTGTTTTCAAAAAAGGCTGCTCTGAAACTTCGATATCCACAAAATAATGTAAATTTCCACACTCAGCCCTCAAGTCACAGAAAGATGCCTCTGCTTCTCAGACTCCAAAGTGCAGTTTCGAAATCTCGTCACCCCTTCCACGGCTCAGGCCTGCCGCTACAGCCAGCACACCCACTCACTAGGTAAAAGGTCAACAATCAGATCCAAACCATTAATGGCCTCAGGGGGATTACAGTGGGGTCCCTTGTATTCTGGTGGGAATCCCATGGGCCTAATCCACGTTACTATTTATTGAACACCGGAAGCAGATTCCGATATCAGTATTGTCCTGAAATACCCTGAGAGTACCTCTGAGTCACGGTGGTGGGTTTCCCTCTGTCTGGCTTCTTCCAACAGAAAGAGAAGGGATAACATGGGGAGAAGTGACGTGTGTATGCCTCTGTGTGCGTTTGTGTGTCTGTGTGTGTGCGTGTGTGTGTATCTATACTTTCATGCGTTTACATGTGCGAAGCACTAAAATGCCTTAGGATGCTGATAAGCAGAATTTGGACTCTTCCTTCCTGATTTTATATCTTACTACAAACTACATTAATAAGTCACTGCGTTGCTGGCACAAGATCAAACCTAGAGATCAAAGGAACAGAATCCGTAGCCCAGATACAGCCCCTGCCGTCTGTGGTGCACTGGGTTGAGTGATTGATACAAGGGTGTCCAAACTCTTATGGAGAAAGTGCAGTCGTCTTTATAAAATACAGGATTGTGAAACTCTGATATCCACAGGAAACCTTAAAAGTTTGACCCTAAACAAATACGACACAAAATAACAAAATTACCTGGCAGAAAATACGAAAGTGTATCTTTAAATTGATGAACAAGTAAATATACAAAGTAAACGATGAAACGTTTAGAAGATGACATGGGGGATGTGTTCTCGGCACTGAATTTCTGGGGATTTCTTGGATATAACACCAAAGAATAGGCACAAAAGAAAAAAGCAAGTAAATTGGGGTTTATCTACATTAAAACTTTTATTCATCATGGCCACCAGGAAATGAGTAACAATAAAACGCATAGGATGGGAGAAATTATTTGCCAATTTTATATGCGATAAAGGACCAGGTAACCAGAATATTAAAACTTGTATGCAACTTAAAACAAAATTAAAAGCAAAAGGTACAAAAATAGCATTTTTCCTAGAAAAGATGCACAATGGCCAATGAATTCATAAACGGATGATCAATATCGTTATATATTAGGGAAGCACTAATCAAAATACAATGAGATAATGCTCTGCTACTGTGAGGGTGGCTAAAGATTCAATCAATCAATCAACCAACCGATCAATCAAAGCGGAGACCAAGAAGCGCTGTTAAGGAGGTAGAACAATGGAATCTCCTTACATTGGTATTCAGAAAGAGAACATGATGAAATTCCTGTCCAAAACAACATGACCATTCATTACAAAGTTAAACACATAATCATCACATGATCTAGAAACGGAACTCCTATGTATATACACAAAGGATTGAAAAGCAGACACTCAAAGAAATATTTGTGCATCGTTGTTCATATTATCAAAGTTCACAACATCAAGGGTGAAAAGAAAGCAAAGATTCAACGGTGGATGAATGGATTTAAAAACTGTGGCGTTTGGGTGTGTGTTTTCCTGTGTGTGTCACGGAACATCGTTGAGCCTTGAAAATAAAGTTGTCTGTATTCAGGTTGCTAATGGAGGAGAGAGAGTGGAAATGAAGCTTCTATCCACCAACATTGCAGAGGTGAAAACAACGTTCACCGTGTCTGTACACATAAGTAGAAGACGGAAATGAAGATGCAGAAAACAGAGCTCCATCTGCCTCTCTAGAGGCATTTTAGGAGCAATCCTTGGAGTCACAAGGCAAGGTGAAAAATCAGCCAGTCACTCAAGGGCAAATACTTGAGGATTCATGTCAGGAGAGGTCTCCAGACCAGTCACTTCCATGGTGACAGAAAGGAGAACTGTAGTGTAGAAGGATTTCCCAGAGGGAAAACGTGGAGTGAAGGTTTGAACATTGCCGAGTTTCAGTTGGGAAAATGAGAAGTTCCAGAGGACGGTGGTTAGGGTTACACCTCAAGGTGAATGCAATGAATCTCGGGGAATCACAAATGGAAATACAATTAAAATGCTTCATCTAATATTAAGTACATTTCAGCTCAATAAAAATGCAAAGTGCAAGATGAAACAGGTGTATGTACAAAACTTTAATTTTCCTAAAGAAAGCATATGTTCTTAAAACCGTGCAGGTATACCAATACATTTGTTGTAAATAGGCTTCCAAATGGCAAACGACAAAGAGGAGTGCTTCCGTTCCCGGGACCATTAATGGAAACGTAACTGGATTACGCTGATTAGGTTAGGTCACACCCACAACTGCCAACCCACGGAACTGTATAAAAGTCGGCTCAGACAGGAAGCCTCCCTCAGTGCCCCTTGCCCAGGAGTCCCGGCTGCTGCAGCACACCCGGCGCAGAGCTGGCCCCGCAGCAGGCTCCCCTCCTCTGAGAACCCACTGACAGACAACAGGGGGTCCCCTCACTTCAGGTTGGTGACTTGCACTGATGTCTTCAGAAAATTAGTAGAGTACAAGAAATACATGATATTCAGGTTGTAGGTCAAAGATAGGTATTCTGTTTTTATGATTGTACTTCTTTGAAAAGAGACCTAAAATACTTGAGTGAAATGTCAATTATCTCACAAAAATTCACATTCCTAAGGAAATACACCCCCCCCACCCCCGACTTTGTAGGGAAACGGTTTTGGAAACGTGGTGCTTTTGTCCGTAAGCAGTAAAGGCTGAATATTTCAGTTCTCCTTCGTTTCTTCAAACAGTTCACTGTGCACGTTTTAGAAAATACATAGAGGGTGGGCTTGTGGAGATAGGACAGTTATTGAAAGACTGTAGACCATAAACTTGCAGCAGAGCAGGGGAAAATTACATTTGCGTGTGAATTTGAGTTAGGAAATTGAATATTTTACCATCGATAGTGACAATTCAAAAGGTAACAGGAAAGCATGTTTGATTTCAGATTTTCAAATATTTGTGCCCCACGATTCTGGATCCCATTTTCTGTAGCTTCGATTTTTTGTCGCTCCTGGAAAATATTGTCCTTCATTTCACTCATAGAGGAAAGTGTCATAGAGCTTATCAAAGTCTGCAGCGTCAACGATTCTGGGGTAAAAACCTAAATTGATCGTTTCAGTACGTCAGGTCTAAGACAGGGCCCTATTTTGGGGATCGGTAATGATAGGAGAGGAAGGTAACACATCAGGGAATGAGAGTCCACTTTGTGAGGAAAGGACTTGAGGAAGTGGCTGACATGGCTTCCTTAAGGGGAAGAAGGTGTCGCGGGAATTTTTTGCACTATGCGAATTCATAGTGCTCTTAACGATCTTTTTTTTTTCTTTTACTCAGCAGATCCAAAGGTCCACCCCTGAGGTCATCCAACCTCAAGCTGCCGGGAGATGAGACGGGTGGCGGGTCACTACCCACAGTCTGAGAAGAACACACTCAGCAGAGCCCAGACTATGAGGAAGCAGCAGAGGGGACCCGCAGGGCCCAGGGCTCCCCGACCCGAGGAGGAGAATCCCAGGGTAAGTGGAGACGACGATCTTTGGGGATCAGGGGACACACGGACCTCAGAGTCGGGGGGTGACTGTAGAAAATTCTGACACCATAAGCCAGTTTTCATTCCTACCCAAGGATGGCCCTGCCCGAGGCCTCCTGACCATCAGGGGAGTCTGTCAGAGACTCTGAGGACCAAACTCAGCTCCCAGTGAGTTCACGTGCAGCCAGGATTTTGTCCTGGTGCTGAGATCTGGTTCATGGCGCCCACCCCTAGAACCTTTAATCTCTACTCCTAATGCCCTTCCTAACGGGTGCTTTTGGTTATGACGTCCTGGCTCGAGTGTGCAAGCACCTAATTGGCTACTTGTGCCGCTCACCTCCCTAAAAGCAATATTCAGGTCTGAATGGAAACTCTGTCCTTACGTTGCCGTTGGACGGCTGCCCCTGACTGCTGCTGAATCGCTCGCTGACCACTGTCCTTGTTCACCCACAGGTCAAGTGCAGGGACTGTGGGGCTTTTGGACACACGGCCAGAAGCACCAGGTGCCCCATGAAGCGCTGGGGTGGAGCCCTGGCGCCGCAGCCCTTGGGCCCCAATAGGGGGAAGGAGAACCTGGCACCCCGGAAGCCCCATGATCTCCAGGACCCAGTGTCACTCGACCAGAGTGAGAGGGAGAAGGAGCAGAGACCGAGGTGAGCCATGGGGGAGGTGTAGCCGCTGCCTGGGCCCTGGACCCCCAAAAGGTGGTGTGTCTCCTTCTCACACCTCGTGCACAGCCTCGTCCAGGCAAGGAAAACAGTACTGGGGACAAAGGGCCAGGAGGTCCCTTTCGGGTAGGTCTCCTGCCCCAGGAGCTCTTTCTCCTCCTGCACATTCAGGAAGGGGAGGCCGGAGCAGCTGCTGAGCTTGTGCACATGACCGGCACAAAGGGTGTGGAGACTTCAGGAAAGTCCTTGCTGGGAAAACCCGGAGGGCTGCCTGGAGTAGGGCAGGGATCTGACAAGAGGGAAGGTGCAGCTTTAGCCCAGGTCACGGGGCTTCAACACCTGTGTCACACCCAAACAGTCACTGGGACCCTGCCCCCAAAAGGATTCCTCCATGTGTGGACGGGAAATCCCTGGGTGTTGATCACACCCTTTGTTCCGCAGGCAGGAGCAGCAGCAGAGGAAGTCTGTCCTGCAGGCGTTTCCCAGGACACCCCAAGGGAGGCCCCAGCAGGACTGCAAGGAAGTGCCGCAACCTTGTGCCTACCTGAGGGTGAGTGTGGCCCTGGTCCCTGCTCCCTGGGCCTGCTGGGCACCCCCGCTGCGTGTCCCTCCAGGCCCCGCTGTGTCTAGTCCTAGTTCTAGTCCTTACCCCCTAGCGAGTGTTAGTTAGAAATCCTTTGGGGCCAAGCTGATTCCAGTTTGTGTCCCTCTCAGATGTCATTTTCCCCATTTCCTCGTTTCAGCAAATTTACTTCCAAGCCTCCCAACGCTATGTGTGTGGGGGCACGTGCAAATCTGTTACCAGATTATTGCAAAAGCCAGAATCCTACATCCAGAAACACACATCTCTTGAGTGGATAAATATTCCGAAATTCCCTGTCCCGCCTCCTCACCCACCCAACTGCTCTCTGAAGAACATGAGGCAGTTACACTCCATGGGATGAAACGTGTGTTTCAAGTTCCTCCAGAGGGGGCGCTGATTTGAAGACCACCCTGTGGAATAGGACCTAGTCCGGGATCCCGTTCATTCTGTACTTGTCCCGATCACCCCAGGTGGAGAGCCTGTCCATATTTAGAATGACTTCTCATAATTAGGTCATCGTGACATCTAAGTTGCTTGGATCCTCGTTTCTAATCCTATGTGGTTGATTTTCATGTTGAGTCGTCGGTGAGGAGTTTCTAACGTGTGTTCTGCCTTTTCCTACAGATTCCGAGCAGACCCGTGCCGGTCTACACAACCAACGACAGGCCTGCCCTGGACCCTCCTCTTAGAAGCCAGCCACCTGCCAGGGATGACATGAGCTCCACGTTCTCCTCACTGTCTCCCATGGCAATGCAGAGACTGAGCTCCTTCTGCAGTAGTGGACCAGATAGAGGACAGGCAGGGCTCCTCACAGAGACCCCGAAGCCTGCGTTCAAGCGCTACGGCCAGGACCCTCTCGCCATTGACAGGCTGGCCCCGAGCAGAGGTGACCGCAGCTTCCTTGGAGCTCCCCACGCTGCCTCCACAACCCCTGTCCTGGGAGACGTCCTCAAGCCCCAGGCAGGGCACAAGCGTCCTGTTCTGATCTCACAGCCCTGCCCACCGCCTGCCACACGGAGCTCGGGCCAAGACTTCAATCTCAGCATCAGGGCACCCGGCAAGAGACCTGCAGAGACCCCCACCCAGACTTGCCAGCGTCCTCCAAAGAAACCCAGACGAAACCCCTTGGAGACACCTCAGAAGAGCACTCAGAGGCCGAAGCTGAGCCCTGTGCGGGCTGACCTGCCTCCACCAAGAGAAGCTGGACTTGAATGCAAAGTGGCGCCTCAGTGGACCGGGAAGAGTGCAAGCCAGGTGCCCAGCAGTGACCTGCAGCCTCCACATGGCAGAAGTCTCCTGAGCCCTGTCCAGGCCTGCACCGAGCCCCGTCTCCCGTCACCCAGCCCTGCTCCAGGCCAGCCCCTCAGGATGGCCTTCAGGAGACTGGACAGCGGACAGTGGAGCTCCAGGCTCCTGCCAGCTCCCTCCTGCCTCCTCCCTGAGAAGCCAGGTCCTCCTGCCCAGAACCCTCACGCCCCAGAGAAGTCTGAGGCTCACTGTGCCCGGGTCCCACCGAGTGTCCTGTATGAGGACCTTCGGCTTTCCTCGTCCTCTGAGGACAGTGACTCTGAGTGAGACTTTCTGTATATGTTCCTATTGCCTGTACTTTATGGTTTCTGGGTTATTTTTCGACCTGCATCTGTGAAGTTCTGGCCTGTCCCATGGGGGAGAAATTTTTATTTGTGAAGTCATCAGGGAAAGCCAGGGTGGGATATTTCTTCACCTTGTACATTGGAGTTCTCTAATGTCACTGTATGAAAGTCTCTTTGCACTTTGCTTCTCTGTCAATAAAATTGTCACCTCGATACCAGGCCGTGTCCTATTTTTTCTTTATCCCAGTGCAAATTACGTAAAACCTATCTCTATAGGTGGAAGTTTATTGGAGAAAATGAGGAGTGTGGCAGGTCCTTTGCCTCATTAACAGGTTTGAATTTCAGTCAAAATTCATCTCCACCTGATCAAATGCTACTAAGATTGTGTGAGGGACCTGAGAATTTACCTGTGTACACGTACCTAGCTGCTGCTGGTTCTGATCCCATCAGACCCCACTTATAGTTCCTTGAGCTGGGAAGGAAAACCAAGCACCCAACCCTCCCTTTCCAGAGCAAATAGGCGTGGTTCAGGGGAAGATCCCCAGTCACCTCCCCAAAAGATCATTTTTCTTGGCTGAGTCACAATAAACTCAGATGAAAAGAGGAATTCTGGGGAAGTGAGACTTTGGGAAGTGATGTGTATGCCCTTATTAATGCAAACTTCACTGGGCATCTGCTCCGTGTCCACACCCTCCTTACTGCACACCCTGTGCTGAGAACTTCAAGATGTTACCAGAATCAATTCCATAGATGCTCAGGGAGAAATTTCCATCCCATGGGATCAAGGAAAGTTGGGGATTGGGAGGGAGGAGCAGGACATGAGTAGAGATTTAAGAGTGTGAAGAAAAATGGTACTTCTGTGACTTCTGCTCTCAGTAGTAGTGATCTCATAGCTCCCCACATGAGTGCAGGGTTATGGAGATACAAGGTGCTAAAAATCCCAAGTGGCTGCTATAAAAGGAGTAGAGGAGATACCCAAGAAACATCCCCTGCCATCTGTGCTGTACTGGCTTCTATCATTGATACCAGGGTGTCAAAACGTTAAAATGCAGAAGAGAAGTCTTTATTAATAGGGTGCAGTGAAACTTGGATATTCAGAACACAGAAAGCTGGACCTTACACAAAAAAATAAAATTACAGTGCATTATATACTGGACTATAACCTGAAATTAATGAATGAAGAAGTGTACAAAGTGAGCCATGAAATATTTAGAAGAGCACATGCCCCCATGTGATTTTCTGAAGATTTCTTTGACATGACACCAACAAACAGGCAGAAGAAAATAAGTAAATTGGGATGTATGAAAATTAAAACTTTTATGCAACAAGACCACTATAAAACAAGTGACACTATCGACACTTAGGAGAAAATATTTGCAAAATATATTTCTGATAAAGGAGTATCCATGTAGGGTTAACAGAAGGGAAAAAAGACAACACTCAAGGGTTGGACAAGCTATTTGAAGATATAATAGAAGAAAATTGCCCAGGCCTTGCTAAAAATCTCCATATACAAGTTCGAAAAGCTCAGAGGACCCCTGGGAGATTCAATGCAAACAGGAAGACGTCATGACATGCAGTCATCAGACTGAACAAAATATCAACTAAAGAGGCCCTTCTAAGAGCTGTAAGACAAAAGAAGCAAGTAACATACAAGGAAAAGCCAATTTGAATAACATCAGACTTCTCTAATGAGACTTTACAAGCAAGGAGAGACAGGGGCCCCATTCTAACTCTTTTGAAACAAAACAATTCCCAGCCTAGAATATTATTCCCTGCAAAACTAAGCTTCGTATATGAAGGAAAATAAAAACATTCTCAGACAAGCAAAGGTCAGAGAATTCACCAAGACAAGGACCAGCCTACAAGAAGTACTTAAACAGCGGTTATGCAGCAGCATCATAATAATAAACCCAATTATAAAACAACCGAAAACCCAAAGATATTAAAGGCCAGATATTACAAATGGCTCAAACAGAAATCATAGCAACCAATACATCAACCCAACCAGGAACGGTCAGTGAATCTACCTTACCTATCGTCTCTCAATAAATGTGATAATGGCTTATAACTTCAACCACGTGCATTTAGAGATTCAGAATAGACTGCTGATAATGGATACATAATACAGGTGCATACATAGTATTATGCTGTCTTCAGGAACACATATATTGTGTAGACCTGCATAGAGATTATGTGCAAGAATAGACATAATATATAAATTATAGAGAGTGGAAATCTTCAATTCAATTCCAATGCACACATAGATCGCAAGTAAGTAAAGGTTTTTTCGGTGTGCAGTTGTAATTCAGACGATTTTACGTTTTTAACAACAAAAATGTGGTGAGGAGATAATATAAGAAGATAAACATGTTTCAGCATAACTTTCAATAATCACAACACATTATATTATAAT